GCATCGTCATGCATCGATTTACACGATATTGCAGTTTCATGTATAACACGGAATTTCATGTAATTCATGCGGTACATTAATCATTACAGAGAGATAGTTGCACGGCGCGCTATTATGCAATGCTAATCTTGTTTCTATAACCGGAAACGAGACGAGGAAGAACCATAAAAGGATCTCAAATAATTTATTTGCGATTCTAAAAGTCTCGTATTTAAATAAAAAAATTTTTAATCTTTAAATTACAACAAATATATATATATATATATATATATATATATATATATATATATCTTTTTTATCATTAAATATTAAGTAACGTGCAATATATTTTATAAAAAATTTCTTTTTTAAATTAATTAAATAAATTATCTCTTGATTGGATTATTAATTATATATATATATATATATAAATTAAAAATTAAAAAGATATATATATATATCTTTTTTAATTTTTAATTTTCGCTTTCTCGTATATATATATATATATATGAGAAAGCGACGATATTAAATGAACTTCTCTGTATACTTACATAAGTATATACTTACGAGCTAAGTATTAAGTATTCCGCTCGCATTACCTCCCTTCTGAACTCAAGAAAGTTACATACTTTTCCGCCTTACGCGACGACAGTGCTGTGCAAACTTAATTAGGGACTCCGACGTCACAAAGAAAGACGAGAAAACTTGGAAGCTCGTTTTCCTTTCGATCCAAAGAGACAGGATGAGCGTATTTGAATTATATGTATATACCTACTCTATACATAAAAGTTTAGCGATCCTTTAACGCGAGACAAGTGTTGTTCGTTACAGCCGAAATTGTAAAGTCGGATTGCATTTCAATGCATCCGTTAAATGCATACAATAGTGCGAGCGGCACTTCATCATCGCGAAAATTCGTACGATGTAAATGGATTAACTAAAATTCCGCGGCCGATCCATAACTCGTTTAGTCGGAAATCGGAAAGGTGCTCTTAGAGCCGATTAATTTCAGTGCCATTTAACCAGGCTAATGTAATAGAAAGTTTCGTATGCGTATATTCTGTTGAAAATTTCACAAGTCAACTTCCAATCAAATTATTTACATTATCCATTTTATATTATATTTATAGAATGCTTTTTTATCATTAAATATAAAAAATAATATGCAATATATTTTAGTATACCAAATTTTTTTTAAAGTAATTAAATATTAAATAAATGAATTATCTCTTAATTGTGGGTTATTAATTTTATTTTAAACAATTTAACGTGTTACCGACATTTTTATCTACTTATTTTTAAGAGAACAAAAATGTTATAATATATTATATTCACACATACCTTTTTATATATACAACATATTTTAATATTAAAACAATTTCTTCTTTAAACTAAATAAATAAGTTATTCTTTTGCTGCATTATTTTAAACAATTTAACATATTGACGTATAATATTTTTACCTGTTTATTTTTAAGAGATGAGTAAAATGTTATATAAAAACTTTTACAATTTTTTTCAAAATACAGATATCTTGTGATATTTACTATCAAATTATTACATCAAAATTATCATTTAATTTACTTCGGCTTCCCAAATAAATTTATTTTCGAAAAATTACTTTTTTCACACTCCATACTTATTTCTTGTTCGCTATTTTATTTTATCAGCTTTATGCCGGACGACAAAAGCGTAAAGATAAAAGGTTAGTACAGCACTGACTTTACAACCGCCTATCATAAAGTACACCGTTCGTCGTTGCACCGAGAACGAGATGTAAACGTGTTTCTCGTTGATACCCTTTTGTAACACAGTTTACATTATACGAAATACCGTGTCTCTCTCGAGCGTCCCTTGGGACATTCAATTTTATTATCGATTCGTATCGCTTTTATCACTGGGAATGAGAAGATATGCACGAAATGCGACAGACATGTTCCGCTATTAACATTTTTGCGATATGAACAAGAATAAATAAGACGAGAATAAAATTTTTTGAAAAGGAACACCGAAAAAAATTTATTGAATAGATATTTCAATATACTGCCTAATACATCATTTATTTAAAACTAATAATATTGATTTGATGTGAAACATATTTATTTGACATAAGAACATCCTTTCCAAAACAGAGACTTACTTGTTTCAAATAAATAATTTATTATATAGATAATATTGAAATAAATATTCAGTTGAAATAAATATTTTTATTTTAATATCTAATTTTTCTGTCAAAATATGTACAATTGCTGAAACTAATCAGCTGTCATTTTTTAATGCATGCAGTTATTAAGAAAATAAACGTGTTAGAAAGAGGAAAGTCTGCAGATTTTAATGGATATAAATAAAGTGTTTGTATACCAGTTTATGTTATTGAAGAAAAGTAATAAAAAAAGTGCTAATAATCACATATGTAATTAATAATAAATATTTTCGAAGTGCGCACCACGTAAAATTCGTTTCTTTTACAAAAACTCTAACATGTCACTCAAACTTTCTAACATGTCATTTTTAATGTTACTAAGGATCCTTTTAATAGCTGCTATTAAATCTGGCACTGTTAAAAATATTTATAATTAGTTTAAGTGATTTTATATAGTTATTAGTATCTTTTTCATTATTTTTTATCGATAAAGAAACTGGTATACAAACATTTTATTCATATCCATTAAAATTATTTAATAACTGCATGCATTAAAAAATGACAGCTGATTAGTTTCAGCAATTCATATTTTGACTGAAAAAAATTATTAAACTAAAAAATATTTATTTCAACTAAAAAAAAAATGACAGGTAATTAGTTCCAGCAATTTCTTATGGGATACCATTTCTGCGTTTGTTAGATTCTTCAGGTTCTTGACAAAGCACAAAGCAATAATGATAGTCGCCTAAACTATCCTCCAGACCTCTGTTCGCTTAATTCGCAAAACGGGCCGGAAGTGCATAGGTGCATCAGCGCATTATATATACATACATATACGAGGTGCATCGCACAAAGGGCTAACTTCCTAATCTATGCGGAAGTTGCGCCATAAACGCGACCGGAACCGAATCGATCCTTGGAGCGACCTCGAAACCGCGGCCATCCTCCAAGCCCGACGCTCGCAGATGCTGGCTGGCAAAGCTGAGTCAAGCCAAGCCGAGCCTGCCATTCGACACGGATTGTGCCGGTCCCTTCGGGCCGCTCGTCGGTAGGGCCGCTCTCTCTTCGTGGTGCCGGCTGGCGTTTTCTGTCAGTCGTCGGCAGACTGCGGAGCTAACCGGTCGATTGGGACCGCCCGCGCGTAAAAAGAGAAAGAAAAAAAAAGATAAATTGTCCTCCGGTAGTGCACGCGCCGACGTGGAGGTCGCTGATGAATTAATTCGGTCGTACGAAATAAAAAAAAAAAAAATAAAAAAAAATAAAAATAAAAAATCAAATAAAAAAGGTAATTAATGAACGGATGGGAATCGGTAACGAGTTTATCGGCAAATAGTAGAGATCCGCGATCTGTCGAGGGCCTGACCCTCGGGGTGGGCCTCGACGGGAGATCGTGAGGCCCCTGTGTGTATCGTAACACGGGGTCGAGCCCGTAAATAATGGTGACCGGCACACGATACGGTATACACACGACTTTCGTTTAACGTATTACGATCCGGACGTGGCGCATTAATAATCTCGCGTGAACGTGAGGAAAAGAAGGGATAAAGAGACAGAGAGATCCTCTCAGATATTTTTCAACCAAGTTTTATCCCTCGTTCGAACGAGATCTGCCTTTCGTTTGACAAACTGTGTCTGACTCTGTTCCTTCACTCCGAAGATTCACGACTCGTCTTCGTACACAGTAGGAAAATTTGTGTTTCTTATTAAAAACAGTCCATTAAATTTAACACATTTATGTGTTAATTTAACATATTGCGGTTGTGTTAATTGAACTTAAATGTTAAATTGTTAAAACAACTGAAAAAATCTATCTATGTTTAATTTTACACAATAAATATGTTCTGATTTATTAATGATAAGATTTATATCTGGTAAAATTTACAGAAGAAATGGTTGATTTTTTATTTTCTAACATAAGTGGGGATGATATATACTCTATTAATATATTTTTAATTAATTAAAACTATGTTAATTTCGTTACACAAAATTTATTTTAAATTACTTGAAGTTGCATTTATTTTCTGTTGAAATATTAACACATATCCGCGCTTCCATTTAACATATCCATATTAACATATATATCCATATTATGTTAAATTAACACAAAAATTTCTGTAAGCCGTTTGGAACATGTGATATCTATTCAATTTAACATACATTTTTCAACTGTGTAATCTCCTAGGATAAACACGCTAACGCATTAATTATGGATTTAAAGATGCTGGTGCGGTGTTTTAATATGCAGCGTTGATTAGAAGAAGAAAACACGATGATGGCGAACTGAACTTTTGACAATAGATATATTTGTAAATTTTAAATGAAAAATTGAAGCGATCTTCTGGGACACAAAACCGTGACGGTAAGAAAACTAGACACTGCCTTATAACTTACCATGATCGATGAGAATGGAAGATTACAATCGAAATTTCTCAGGACACATCGATTAAACTTTGACGTGTCGCCGTGTTACGAGATGAGAAATGACACCGTGTGCTATCGCGGGGTGTAACGCAATACGATAATGTAATAAGCTTCCGATATGTCCATAATAATCGACGATAGACGATAATAATGATTTCATGAATATTTCATGAAGCGACCTAACGGAAAATCGGAGCAAAACACGCTGTTTTATTATAGTGTCTCACGAGGTTCGATCATCTTCATAATCGTATGACAATTTGCAATAATATACAAAGCGCAATCGACGATTCTTTCGACTTGGAAATAATTTTCTTATTTACCGCGCATTTTTCATTGACATTTAATGCAGACCGCGTCGCAGAATTGAATATCGATCGTCTTCAGCATCCTCCGCGATAACGCGGACCGCGACCCAGTCCAGGCGTACTCTGACAAGGCGCGCGTATAAAATCGCCGATAGCGAACTGGACAGCCGCCAGTCTTGCGAGAGCCGCGCGCGAGAGCGGACGTCGCTCGTTTCACGCCGATGCGGTGCCACGTGAGGGAAAAGCCAGGAGGAAAACTCGTTCCCGCGCAGCACATGTGACCATTTTCTTCCCGTTTCTTCCCTCCCGTTGTGGACTCGTGTTATCGGACGACAGAAATGGTGTGGATCGCGCCGGAAATGTGTGACAAAATTAAAGGAACGAGATCGAAGAATCGTGTCCGATAAAATGTTTCGTCGGATTTGAGTTCTGTCAAAAAAGGAAAAATCGAGCGGTGCTGATTTTTGACGCAAGACGAAAAAAAACAAAAAAAAATGAAAAATTAATTACGAAGAAAAAATTGAAATTTTGACACTTGATTGAAAGAAAAATCAACATTTTCTATTAAACTTGCAAGGATAAATACTAGGAACTGTATTAAGGAAAATTCTTGCGGAAGATAATTAAATACAGAATTGCAGATTTGTAACATCTACATATAAAAAGAATCTTTTAATTAAAGAAATCGAATAATGAAGTAACACAACAAAATACACAACTGCATACTTCCGTCAAACGAAACTGTGTGGCAACCGTATTTATCGCATCGCTAATTGCATTTATTAAATTTAATCGGGACCACATTTGTACAACGAGAATTATGACTGTTCCCCGGAACCGAGCACGAGCGTTCTCGAGCAAAGCTTGAAAGTAGAACGAAAGAAAAGGAAGGAGAAATTCCCAAAGGGAGGAAGGTTATTCGAGACATCTCCTCCGAGGATACTCCGGTATCTCGTTGCAGGATATTTCGCGGATATTCTTGGAAAAGGTTTACTGCTGACAGACCCTAAAAAAGTACTTCCGCGAAGGTGTGAATATGGCTATTATGAAATCTCGCTGAAGAGATTGAGCGCTTAGAGTTACCACAGATAAAACTTCCACTTACACCTGAGACGAAACCGATTCTTCGCACGGGTATCCCGGAAGGAAAATCCTCACAATATCCTCGCGCGTATTTTTACTCCACTAAAGTTCTCCACCGGCAACTCCCATGAAAACGTGAAAATCGCGGAAATTCTGTTCGCGAACGACTCGAAAAAGAGTACAATATATAAAATCTTTCTTATAAATGAAAGAAGAGTTTTATCTTCCCTCGGGAAAATACAAATCGCATCGGCGAAGATATTCTCTGTGGAATTCGTTCGAGAAAAAAAATTGGTTGCATCAAACATTCAAGAACGTCAGAAATCATCCAGAATTATCGTCAAGTTTTTACTCGATTTTCGATTTCTCGATTTTCCATTTTACGAAAATCTGGCAGACTTATGTTGAAAAATCTGTGAAGCAAAATCTCCCCGAAGTAAGGGAAATCCCATCGTGCGATGCTCCGGACACGAAGAAGTTTCAAGAAAACTAGTGAGAAGTTCTGGGAATCTTAGGCAGAGCGGCGAAAAAGACGGAAGAAGAATCACGAAAGCGGAGGAGGAAGAGAGGCGAGAATTGCAAATAACAAGCGGAGACGAGGAAACGTTTCAGGAATGCCGTGGATAAAGTGTTTGGGTGGTGGAGGCGGAAAGGCCAGGAGGGGCAAACCACTCAGCGTCAGTCAACCGATCCACCTGCTCGTCAAGGTAAGATTCCTCTCGAAAAGTTTTCCGCGCGATTTTCTCGCAGCGGATCTCGGAACGAACCGAGCGAAAATTCGATACACATTCAAGTCGTTTCTTTCAAGCAAAAGACTTTTCGAACCATAATTCTCTACCCGTCAACTCCTTTAACAGAGTTTATTCAAATTCCCAGAGCAAATATATAGCAGAATAAAAATATATAAATGAGCACAAAACAAAAAAGTGTATGTTTAAAAATAAAAACGTACATCTTTGATTATATTCTTTTATTAAGAATTAATTTTTTTTATATCTTATATTTTATATTTAACTTCGTGGAAAGTGATAAAATCAACGAAAAACTAAAAGATTAATTAATCGTATATGAAGTTTAATAAGAAACACATGTTGCAACTTTTTATTCGAAAAAGATCTAGATTCTCTAGAGATTGTTTAAAAATAGATGCTCAGGGAAGTCATTATAATTCATAACCGGCACAAAAACCGTAATACTACTTTACTTGATTTATTCAATATTGTGGCATATGGTCTTGTGACTATCAATTTTTTCACAAGCCTCTTGGATTAAACGAGAAAGTATTCTGGTTCTCATAATACTTTATGGGTGCGTTATAATCACGATGTACGAATGAAACATGAAGTGTTTCTCTCATGTACAAATTTAGCTCTCTCAATTCGCTTTTTAAACGAAGCCTGATATTCGAATATGTATGATTTCTCAATTATCAAGTAATTACAATAGAGAGAAAACTGTGTAATGATGTAAATGATTTATGATAATTAAAATCGGAATATATTTCGTTCAGTTTGGGGATCGCAATTTATGACATCTGTGTTGTAAACACTAATACTGTTAGATTCGAATTCGGTTAATTTTACCCAACATTTTAATCTCAATTTGTCTTTTAATATACATAATTATCTTTCCAAAAAGCAGCGTTTTAAGGTCAACGATCAGGACCCGATAGCCTCGCGATAAATTCCAATAATATTTCCCTATAGAGCGATTATATAATCGCCGCTGTCATTTCCTTATATTACTCAGTTTCCTTCTCATTATCACTGCTCTTCTTTATGAATATCATAAATTCAATAAAGATAATGGGAAAAATAGAACAGAACCGTTTAATAAGTGGTACGACAAACTAAAAAAAAGAAAGAAAAAACCTACACAGCAAGAGTTCTCTTATTTAATACAAGAGAATGTAGGTGGGTTTCCGCTTAAGGCGACGGTTATTAGGCAGCTTCTTTCATCCCGAGATGCCGTAAGATCGAGAGATATACAAAATTTCCAGATGACGAAGGGACACACCGCGGTGGTCAACATTTTCTCCTCCCTGCTGGCTGGCTGATTTATTAAATTCTCGACGGCCTTTTTCCTCGGTTCTGGGCCCCTTTTCGGGAACGGACGCCCTGCGGGTATCGATTCGACGATATCTTGGGCACGACCCGGCAATTAAGCCGGTAATAACAGACGCGATGTTAGCCACTTGTTAAAATTACAACGAGCTCCGCTCGAGCTCGTGATCAACGCGCTCGTTGCACGAGCAACTTGTTGAAGCGACTTTTGTACGATGTCATTGTTACATTGCTTTGTAATCGCGTAACACTTCCGGGTACGGAACGAAAACATATTTTGAGGATACCAAAGCGCAGTAATTATGACCGATTCAAGAAAAACAAAAATATTATTCGGATGTAATAGATATCACGATATATGTAACGAGAACTCGGATTTTTATATATAAATTGATATCTTTCTAAATTTGCTCATTTTGGAACTTATAATAAAATATCACAATTATAATAAAGACTAAATCAATTAATGTAATATTATTAATTAATTAATTAAGAATATTAATTAATTAATCTGAAGAAATTTGATCTTAAAGATTATAATTTTATGTGCCTATACATATATCTTATTATAATGCTAACTTATAAAATACCGAAACAACATTTATGCGAATAATGAGGTAAAATTACAATCCAGGAAGCAAAAAAAAATGCTATTTCGGTGCACGACACAGCATTCGTGCGCAAAGTGCTCGTGTTTCAGTTCTCTTTGCATACCGTATGTGTCGGACAAGCTGTCCCAGCAGACATGTGCACGCGTATATATACGTACATATAATTAAAGTACAACGTCATCACGATGAAAAAAAAATGTCACTCGGCGATTTTCGCTAATTATTACAATTCGATTGAGTTGAATCTTTTTTTGCGTATATAAAATGCGAAGTAACATCGGAAAATAAATAAATTTAAGCGCGTGAATCATTACGTAATCAAAATTCACATCGCTGGCTTCCGTATTTGCATACCGTTACAATGAAACGCGCATACATAAGCTGCAAAAATAAACTGGCACTGGTAATCGAGTATATCGAGTATATCGCGAAATAACAGATGGGTGGAAGATTCAACAAAATTTGCTTTGCAATTATAAATTTGCTGGAATTAATAGAAAATAAAATTCTGATTAATGTAAAATTTCTCATTCAACTCGCTCCAATTTTAATGATGCGAGAAAAGCATATGTGAGATTATTTTCAAGAGTTCTGTTTATTTTAAAACAATTCTCGCGTATAATATTGAACACTCGATTAAGCATATCCTTATATTTTTTTCGAGAATTATTAGCAATATTAAAATTATTTAAAATAATTTATTTTGTTTGAGAAAGAAATATTTATAAAGATGTAACATGTAATTTTTAAGAATTCTTAATAGTATTAAAATAATTTTAATCGCGAGCAGAAAATACGAAGGTAAGATCAGTAAAAAAGCAAGAATTAAGAAGCAATTACATAATACTAAGGTAACCGCGGCGGCACGTCATGACATTTTATTAAAGCGGCACTTTAAACGACATTCTAGAAAATGATTATAACCGGAACATTATTTCTATCTGCATAAAATGACGTAAATGCGCGAACGCAAATTATACGGCTCGGTAAACGAATGATGAATGTGATAGCCAACGAAATTTTATGTTTGCAAAAACACTGTTGATTAATTTAATATCTTCTAAACTTCTTAATATAATAAATTAATAAACTATATTATTAAATATCTTCATACATACAATTTCTTTTCAGAAAATTTTCTTTTATTGGAATATCATTTTTATTACGGAAAAAGATATTCGAAGTTGTATCAAATAATGATAAAATCTATAAAAATTTAATATAATTTGATAACAATATGACATTTCACGGAGAGCCGCAATACGAATCCGAATAATCGAATCGATACGAAGACACAATCTATAAGACGGCGTAGGATTTCGCAATCAATATTACTAATTTATGATGATTGTACGGGAAATACATACGAGATGAGAAAATATTTTTCCCAACGCGTTGTAGGCTGTCGATGCTTCAAGTCCGGTCCGACCACCATGGCTTTCTAGCCGTGACTTCAAGTTGGCGTTTCCGAACAAGAGAAGGAGAGAGACCATGGTTCTCTTTCTCTCTCTGTTATTATAACCGTACTATTATTGATACCGACGCACAAGCGGTACACCTGCATATATGCGTGTATGTACGAAATACCGCCCACCGTCATCGTCGTCGTCTTGCGCGATGTAAGATCGGCAATTAAATTAGCGGACCCTTCGGGCACGGCCCGATTTTTACACGCGCCCACGCGGCAATTCGTTCCCGTCTGGACAATTGGTATTTCACGCGGAAAGGATATTTATGCTTTGGAATTTCGATAAGTTAAAATAATTTCTTGTATCTAAGAAAGAGTGAATTGGAATTAATATAATACTACGGATATGCGTCACACACATATTGAGTTTTATTGTGTAATTTTTATTATTCATTATTATTAATAAAAATTATATAATTTTTATTTTATAATTTTAAATTATTTCTGTTTTGCATTCTTTCAAAATTTTAAATTATATAATAAATATTTCTATAATTAATTATATAATTTTTATTATTAATTATTAATAATAAAAATTATATAATTAATTATAGAAATATTTATTATATAATTTGAAATTTTGAAAGAATACAAAAAAGAAATCTGTTATCGTTATCAATTAAATGCAAAATATATGTCAGAAATAATGAAGATATTGTATATATATTGGCTGTGTGCAAATGCTATTTTATATTTTATTTAATATATCTGATTATATGAATACCTAATAATTAAAATATTATACGTATAATTATACTTAATTAGTAATTGATTGTGAAATCCTACACCATTTTATAAAGTATGACTTCATATCGATTATATATTCGAATTTGTATATTATCGTAAAATTATGGCTCTGCGAAATTTTATATCATCACAAAATCTTATTAAAATATTAATATATGAATATTTATACGGGTGTGATTGGTTTATCTTAACGAGACTCCTCGACTACTGGTACAATATATCATATAAGAGACATGTGTAAATGAAATAAAATTGTTATCGTTTAAGTAATATTTTCTATTAGACGCTAGTTTTGTAACGCTCTCCAAGTTTTTAGCCCCAGCAGCGAGCGATGCAACATCTTTCCAAAGGTTAGATCTCTTCACACGTCGTCGATTCTACCTACGCGCATGAACACACTCCGCTTTGCGGTACGTTTACTCCAGGCTTTGCTCAATACCTTACGTTGTTTGCTCTTCGCACACGTATTTTTCTTACACCTCGTGGACGCTGTCATAATATTGCCTTACATAGTTTTTCCATATCCCGATACCCAAAATTCCGGAACATAGTCATAACAATAAGAGAACACACGGTTCTCTCTTATCGCTGATACGAATATGTATAAATCCAACTTTAAAGTAAAATTCGTGGCAGGTGCATCACTATATATCTATGCGTAATTGATAGTTTTGCGTATTCGCGATGTTTCAGGAACCACGGATGATTACGTGAATTACCTAATCCTCAACGCGAATTGCAAGGCCTGCGGGTTTGCGAGAAGTCGTGCGAGAAGTCGTGTCTGCTAACCTTTTCGACGAAAATTATCGTGTCTGCCG